GCAGCAGAGGCAGCAGCAGCGGCAGCCGCGGCGGCGGCGGAGGAGGAGGAGGAGGAGTAGCAGTAGCAGTAGTAGTAGTAGTAGTAGTAGTAGTAGTAGTAGTAGTAGTAGAAGTAGTAGTAGTAGTAGTAGTAGTAGTAGTAGTGGTAGCACCAGCAGCAGTAGCAATGGTGTTCGGTAGCAGCGTTGTCGGGTTTGATTGTTTGACTTTGGTTCTCGGCGCCAGATGTGGCCGGATGGCACGGAGTATGTCGGGCAGTGGCGCGAGGGCCGGGCCAGCGGCGTCGGCTGCATCAAGCAGCCAGGTTGCACATGGCTGCTCCAAGCCGCCCTGAGCATTTGTTTCAGGGTATCAGGTGAAGTTTTCCATGCGAAAATTGGAACCGATTACGCTGTTTGATCCGGGAGCCTAAACGCCTTGGACCTGCGCGAGCACATTTACCTTCGAGCCTTTGCAAAGTTGGCTTATTCTGCAGTCTGTTCGAGAAGCTGGATTTAACATCCGCATGCGGTGTTTTGTCAACATCATGGCCAGGTGCTGCAGTCCACTCTAGGCCTCCAGGCCTAGACAACTTGCCCGCGGAGCGTTCACTCGCGCAACGAGTTAGTTCAGAACAGTCTTCGCACACAGAGGCCCGGTTGATTGAAAACACTTCGTCTTGCAGGCAACATGGGCTAAGACGGGAGAGCATTGCTTGTGAGCATTTGCATTGACGTAGCTCGCATGAACATAAGATCCCGAATTGGTTGCAAACCCGAATGTCTACAAAGGCACAGTGACGGCGACTGCTACACTGGCCAATGGGTCAACGGCCGTGCTCATGGCTTGGGGGTGTATCGTTTCCAGGCTGCGGGGACCTCTGGGGCGTCGACCCTAGTGGGTTAGAAGCACGGGATCGTAATGTATGCAACAACACTACCTTGCTCGGTGAGTCTACCGCCACTGTAACATGGCTGAAAGCTAAGTTCTGCTCAACCTGCAAATCTGCAGTGTCCATGCACGAACCGTGCAAGCAATTGAGCGAGGATGGTGCGGCCAGCTACGAAGGCGGGTTCGGCCTAAACGGTTGTTTTGCCAGGACGAAAGTCTCAGGGTCAAAGCGCTGTTCTCTTCTTAGCATCCGGCTATTTATGAATGCATCATCCCTTGTTCGAAGGCCAATTTCGCTGCGACCACCGCGACGGATTGGGAGTAGAGCGATGGGTGGATGGCTCCTGCAGCCTGGTTGCACAGGGTGCACCGTCTAAGAGGAGGGAAGCCTGTTTCCAGCCTTGACTCAGCCTGTCCAACCCTTCTCTGCAGGCTACGCTGGCGGCTTCCTGCAGGGTAGAAAAAGCGGCCACTTTGTTGCATGGCACGGGGCATTGGATTGTGGATTCGCGCATGTTGCCGAATAGACATCCAGCGTTTGCATCGGATGCTGGGTTTGGACTTCATGGGCGCCATGATGCAAGGGTCTCGCAAAATTGTCACAAGAGGTGAATGAACAAACGCCAGTAGCATCGCATCTCTTGGAGAGTTCTTCCGCCAGGTTTCGGGTCCAACAAGTGGCCAGACGGAACCGTTGCTGGGCAAACGGTTGGAAAGGGACTTATCCTGTGTCTTTCGGCTACGGGTTTAAGGAGGTTCGAACCAGAGATTGTTACACTGCACCGCGCCTGGCAACTCTCAAAGCCTTCGGTCAACCGGTGAACCCTGTTGTTTGTTTTGTTGCCTGGCACCATTTGATGCCACACTTCTGCGACCCTGAGGTATACCACGGCAGCTGGCGCGAAAACTCGCCGTCCGGCTCTGGAGAGTATACTCTCAGTGGAGGCAGAGCTGTTCGGTATCACATAAGAGCTGTGGATCAGGGCTTGCCAAACTCCTTGTCCATGGATCGTCGAGCCGGATGGGCATCCAGAAGTTGCGTGGTTCCTGTTCCAGGTCCCAGCTTCCGCGGCCAGTGGGAAAACTCCATGCCACATGGTGTTGGTGTCTACCAGTGGCCGGACGGAAGAACGTGACTTCGATGGCAAGTTGCCATTCAGCATAAGTGTAAGCACAGAAATATACAAGGGGCACCGCGGCCGCTAGTACTGTAGTAGCCCGTTTCGTGCCATTGCACTCTGCCAAAGCAGGATATTCGCAACTCGTCACATGGGGCGTAGGGTGCAGGATTGCGATCTCCTTTCACTGATTGTCACATGCCTCATGGATAATCTCACTTCATCCGGGTGCTTGAGTTCGTCTGAGTCCAGTGCATTCTACGACAGAAAAAGTTGGTTCACTTGCATGTTTTTGGTCAGTTGTTTGCGCGATGTGTTTGATAGCGAGTGTGCATGCCCACCGGGTTGTTTGCAAACATGCGCCTGTTGATGGCTATGCAGACATGTATGCACTTGCATCTTCTTTTTCCTGCACTCATTGCGCGGGGAAGTCTGAGAGATCTTCTTTCAAGGCTCTTCCAAGAAGCTAAATGCATACCAGCCTCCAGATCCAGTGGTCTCGGTACCATCCGGATGCGATGCATGTGAACATGGCGTCGTTCCACATCTGCGGTTTTGGCGTTCCTACTTTCTTGCTTTGAAATGCCTGGCGCTTCAAGGTACGCAGGTGGATACCACTTCGACAAGAAGGCCGACGAGAGTTTTCCGAAGTGGAGGTGTGTTGGTACAAGGCATTTTTCCCGGGAAGGCTAAGATCTTCAATGCTGCAGAGTCCCGAGACGGCTTTCAATGGGAAACGACATATTCAATATTGAGACGTGTCAGGTGTTCCGCTGCAATGAGCTCGTAATTATACTACCAAGTCAAAAAGCCCCTAGGTTTGCAACAGCCTTGCAACAGCCAACTCGAATCCTAGGTCACTGCACTCAGAGGCGTTCATGTCGACCCGCATAAACGGCATCGCCGTGCATCGGAACTGCACCGAGGAGGGCTTCGGTGTCTTCACCGATGCTGACGGCAGTGTGCGTCAGGGCTACTGGAGCAATGGTGAGCTGGTGGAGTAGCCCATGCATGGTGACCGAGTGCAAAAGAAGGGGTGATAATCGGGTTGATCGCTACACCACAACCTTTTGGTGCAAAGTTGCCTTAGCCCCAAGTGCAGGGCTTAGAGATTGGCCCAACAGAGCAGTCAACGAGAGCAGCCAGTGCAGTCATGGCATCATTGGCCGTTGTTACTGCTCGCATGTGTCGGTGTTGGCATGTGCGATTTATCATACTTCTGGTATCATTGGACTTCAACACATGCATGTACACTCAAGCCTTGGAGCCTGGTTGACATGGTTGGAGCGACCTCCGAAGGAGTCGTTTCACGTGTACAAAGCCGGCCCAACATCAAGAGCTGACGCATGCTGACGCCATGGCAGATAGTATTCTACAAGACATGGGACAGGCTACTGCCCCTTGCTATTCACGAGGTATTTACAACGAGTTGCTGGTAGGAGGCTGCACCCTACCTATCCTACCTGAACTTGCCCTTGACCATCACGCGTGCTTTCTACGACATGGTGCTTGTAAGGTGAAAGAAAGAAGTGTCCCGATGATTTGAAAAAACCTGTAATCAGCCCCCAGTGTCCTTACAGGGAGCATCTCAGTACTCATGTCTGGCATGTAAAGGCCATCGGCACACTGCCATGCCATCGTGCTGGTGTAGATGTGTATATTCCACACATTGGGGACGGATCAGACTTTTAGCGCCAGTCGTTGCTCCGACAAGGTGTTCGATTTGACGTGATGTAGGAAACTTCTTCAGGTTTTCGCCACAGTAATCAGATTCGATTGCAAGTTTGCAAGTGTCTTGATGGTAGGTCTCGTCTCACCGAGGGTGGAACACGCTCCGGCGCGAAAGTCTTGCTGAGCATTGAAGCGGATTTCCTCACACAGTATGAGCCAGTTGGTATTGCTTGACTTCGTGTCTGCGCTGATCCCCTGCGGGCAGCGTGTCAACTCGTCAAAGCGACACGCGATGGCACTCAAAAGGTCCAGGGTTCAATGTTCATGTGTCACTGGCATCAATGCTGTATCTGGCACGCACCCTTCTGAGCATGCCGGGCCTTTGTCGCCACCACGCACGCACCAGGATAGCAAGGGAGGGTCAATCTCTTACCCATGCCACATGTGCACCAAGGAGGTAGCATTCCAACGTAGGAAGCTGCGCCAGAGCTTTGCTGCCAACAAGCCTTCGCTACAGACAAGTCGCCGCTGACCCGATGCCCATCGTGGCTCAACAGTAGAACATTCAGCCCAGAAGCTTTCGATCTAGACATCAAGGATGGCTCGCTGCTAGTGTTCGGAATGCTTTCTGCGATGAAGAGCGGCCCGGGCCCTTGGCTCTGTTGGCTGAGTTTTGGCTTCGCCTCAGTTGTCGATTGGCCGACGTACCTGGAAGGACCTGGAACCCAGATTCCCTCCTACTTCAACTTCGATTGCGTGGGTCTGACCCAGACCTTCCAGTGGGATCTTCTTTTTTTGAGTTGGGAGAATCAGGACAATGAAACGCTTGTTTGGTGGCAGTTTGAGGATGCTTGGAGAATGCATGGTCGCGTCGAAGCAGAACGAGTCTTGTGGGAGGCTGAAACAGAGTGTCCGATTGGGGTCTTGCACTTGCTTTTGCTGGAAACCAGTTCCTTGATGGAGATGCATGAGGAAGCCGCTAGGGTGGAGTCAGTGGATCTTCCTAGTGGCGAGTATCTGGAGGGTCTATACGGCCCGGATAGCTTCGATCAATCTCCAGTGGATGCTGCACAACTCTGTTTCCTGCGAGGCTTGCTGGCAAAGTTCATGTTTAGGAGCGGTTCCCCCCAGCATGTTGGTTCCGGTAGACGGTAGACGTGCTTATGCAGCATGCGGAATTCTGAGCTGAAGTAGGAGACGAGGTCCTGGTCCTTTCGTCAGACTTCGGACTCGTGCGTCCATGTTCGATTTGCCGACGCCAATGAGCCCGGCACGGCAGTGCAAAGAAACTATCGCTATCCACGGGGAGTATGGGAGCTGGTGGAGAAAGGGAGAAGGTAGTGTGTGTTCCGCTTGTCTGTGAGGGGGGATGCAAGGCTGCTCTTTCCGATCTGACATGCTTCGCAGGGAGCAGTCGAGAGTGTAGAGCCCAGCCCTAAGCTCCATCGCGGGATCGAGGAGAGCACTTTCAAGATCTTCTTGGCCGCGTCTCCTGGTACTTTGTGGCTTTGAGTCGGTGGCAGGTGTTCGAGGCCCTGTGAGATCCAATACGCGAATAATGTTTTCTATTTCGGAGCAGTCAATGCAGGCTCCTCGTTTTTTCAAAGTTGGAGAAAGCTGTTAAAAATGCCACGCCGGAACCGGAACCACCATATCCACCATGCAATGTTCAGGTGATGTACAGACACTTTGCCCTCCTCGTGTCCAGGTCGGGACATGATCAGAAAGACACTGTGTGCAAACCGCTTTGCTGAGTTGCCAGGGTGTGCCTGCGAGCATGGGCGTTTGCGTGCGATTTTGCCTGCTAGATTTCCATGACTGGGCGAGCATCCTACGCGTTCACGAGGTGGAAAACTGACGCTGAGATACGAAAACCCTTCAGCTACAGAAAGCCAAACGTTTTATCAGTCACAAGGTCAACTCTGCAGCAGCCATGCTGTCGGCCACTACGTGCTTCTTTTCAAGCCCCCCGGTCCTTGGAGTATACTGATCCTCGCTCGATTGCCACTAGGCCAACGCCAAACACGACGCCTGTTATTTGGCTACTTCACCACAGACGCGAGCTGCGAGACTCCCTTCATCAACCACTCCTCCCTTCAAATAATCCCACGGGAGATGGGGGTTTGAGTTTGAGGCAGTCTCTCTGTCCTGTAACTCGAAGTTTAGTTTTGTCCTTTTCGATGCTGGAACTTGAGCGAGTCCTCCTCATGCGGCTTCACGTTCAATCGCAGCCCTCCAAACCCGTGACGTAACGGAAGCGGATTGGAAAGGACCTCTGGCTCCGCCATTGTTTCTCGCCCCATGTTGCCAGCTTCAAAATAACAAAGCCAGTTATCGAGTGCTGCTGTTGTGTCGTTTGATGTGGGCAAGAGTGTGCCGCCGCAGGTGGAGGGCGTTGAAGGCACATTGCATGTTGGGCTGGGGGGCAAGGGCAACTTCCTGCTGCAGCGCTGACCAGCAGGAGGTCGTACATCACGATCGATCTTGTTGTTTTGTGCATATAATATTGCTCGTAGTTTTCATCGCGGGGCATCCTGGAAGGACCCAGTGGCCTGGCCGGCGCTGCGGGAAGCGATGCTTACATTCGTCGCTGGCCTCGGCCCTGAGAAGAGCCTGCCAGCTGAAACACAGCTGCTGGCCAAGGACTAGTTACTAGTTGACGAGCAACTCGTTTCTTTCGACATGTCGGGAACTGCGCATGTCGCTCGTGATAAAAGCAAGTCTTGTGCAACATGCTAAACTATTGACCTTCACGCGTGAGAAAGAATCTGGCAGAAAATGACTCAGGCTAAGCACCGTGGGAAACTATGTCCTGGGACGTCCAAGCGGCGAGTTCGAATTATTGAAGCAAGAATGTCCATGCGGAGTGTTGTCAGCCTCACAATACGTTGCATACGCCTCGATTTTTCAGTACACGAGAAGATTTGAGGATGTGGCACTTCTCATACAGGAGCTACTCGTGTCCACACCTCTGGAACATTTTGGTGATCCGACAGATTGGCCGGTGATACAGATGTTTCGAATTATCGCAGACGTCGGAGTCGGACGCTTCATCCAATACGACGAATACTCCAAGCGGAAAGGGCGCTTAACGGACCTTTCGCCGGAAGTGAAGGCCGCTTTGAGTCCCTTCGGCTCTTCCGAGGAGGCCAGGCGTTTCGTGCCTTTTTTTGCATCGAACCCTGACTTGATATCGGTGATTACAGAGACTTCAATGCATTCCGAGTTTGCGAAGACGACGTATTCCCTCCTGGCGGGCCTTGCGGTGGACAGACGGTCTCGGCCTGTTTACTATACGCAGTATTATGGTGACAAGTTTGACGATGTCTTCAAGCTGACAGTTCAGTGGATGCACATCCTTGGGCTCACACCTCTCCTCGTTTCGGTGTGTTGTACGGATGAGATTTTTCGAAAGTGCCTGGCACAAGGACATCTCGTTTCTTGCTGGAGCCCAGGGTCCACAGCGCTTTTGCACAGGTACATCCCTGCAGTGATCATGGCACACCTGGGAATTTCGATGGTGTATTTCGACTTGGATCAGCTGTTTCTGAGGAACCCAGACATTGTGTTCAACGGAGCCCATGATCGGGGAGATGTTGATACCATGTGGACCCATCACCTGGACGGGAACTGCATTTGTGCGGGGATGTTCTACATGCGTGCAACTCCACAAACAGCTGAATGGCTGGAAAAATATACGAGTTGGCTTTACTTGCATCCTTATGAGATTGAACAGAGGGGCATCAATGCGATTTTGCTTCCGAATGGCACTATTGAAGTGTCTTTCAAGCCGACTGACCTGCCCGACCTACGCTTGGAGATTCTGGACGACGCGAACACCTTCGTGTCCACAGAACCTGGCTGGATGGGCGACTTCTCGCAGATTGTCTCCATGCACTTTCAGTACATGCCGCTCGATGACAAGATTATGAACATGGTCCCTGTGTTGGAAGAACTCTTGGCACACGCTTCTGCACATGGCACACCTCCTGATGACCCTGCGGCGTTGCCGACAACCAGCGCCACACTTTCTCGGTTCGTTCTGACCGAAAAGCCACTCAGAAGTCGATGCTGGTAGACCCGTCCACGATTATTCAGGACAGCTGCACCCAGTGCTGGTGGCATGCGCTGTTCCCAGATGCTGAGCAAAAGCTTCACCGCCAGCGGCTATCACACATTGGCACACTCGTGCGCATCGCTAGTTGAAGCTTGACCAGAGCCGCGAATCAAGGAAACAGCTGCAAGGGTCCTTGTGCGACTCGGAGATCTTGAGAAGATGATCTCAGCCCGGCTGTTGGACGAATACCCGGGTAATATCCGCATGTGTGTTGCTTCTCCTCGCCACACGCTTCGTGTATCTCTGAAACCTTTGCCCTACGTGCGAACCGTTTGGTCGACTCGGTCATCTGTAGCCACTCTCTACGGCTTGCTTGGTTGATTTGCTGCTCATTTGCCGTCCGGCTGCAAAGTCCCCAGCCTTGCAGCGCGTATTGACAACGATGGCTCTCTCGAGTCTTTGTCAAGGATCAAAAAGGTGGCTCAACTCGGACCGGTGATTGGAAGGCTTCGGCTCAAGATTTTTCTCTCCGTGATATTCAGTATGACATTCAGGTCTGGCAGAGCTGAGCCCGCGAAAAAAGTCTAATGTGTGCATTCCAACGACGACGATGCAGCAGATGGAAGAGGTGATTGGGATGTCGCTGGCTTCGGTAGTGGCAGAGAATACTGAATACTTTTGAGTGGTCATGAGCGTTTAGTGGCATGTCCAACCAGCACGGCAATACGACCTGCTTCTGCCGCCGCTTCTGTTGTTGACCTCTGCACTATTGAGCCCACACACTTTCGCTTGAGATGGGAGTGAGGTTTGTGTGTGTGTGTGTGTTTGCACGCGTGCCTTCCAGAGCTTCCAAATGCTTCCAAGCTGCAGTTGTGTTACCGATACGTCTTGAGTTCAATCGGGTGAGGAAAGTTGCAAGCTGGAGTCGAATGGCTGCGTGTCGTTTCAATGTTGCACTGACCGTTTTCTGCATATTCGTGGCAGGCGAATGCAAGCGAGACGATCAAGATGGTTGAAAAGCCTTGATAGTGTGGTTGCAGGGTTTCTCGGCCACGCAACAGGGCGTGAAGATTGTAGAAAGACAAACACCGGGTTGGCCTTTGCATGTGAAGCCACCATTAGGCGGCAAGTACGCAGTTAGAGTGTCCGGTCGTACAGGATTTCAAGAGGTGCTTGGATCTCCTTGATGGCTTTCTTCACGGCAGCCGCAGCTGGTTCAGACCTGTCTGGGGTGTTCGTGCTCCTTTCCAAAGGAAAGTGTAACGGAGGAATGGTTCTGCACTTGGCACCCTGGCCCCATGTCGATGGTCCGAAGCCTTTCGTTTCTGGGCCAAGTTACCGGCACAGTGAGTGTGGAGCACTCGTCTGGTGGCCTGTTCAAGTCACTTTTTGCAGCCATGGGCTTCCTGACATTCACCCTTTTCTCGCTTTTCATCATTTTAATCCTCGTGACAATCGGCACTCAGCCAACTTCAGGTTCTGACCGAGCCACGGGCCATTGTTGAGGTGCAAGGATGGTTCGCAGGCAGGGTGCTGTTGCGACTTGACACCGGGTGAGCTTCATCATGGTCGGGCTGCCTGGTGCTAGGCTGCTTGCTGCTGCCGCTGGCGGCGCGGCTGATGCACGCAGCGTTCCTGCATGCCACGAGCAAGAAAGCCGAGGAGCAAGTAGCTGGAATGGCAGGATAGTTGTCCTTTAAAAGAGGGGACCGGTCCTTGTGAGGAGAAAGGTGTGACACCGTGGAACCACGACCGGGCTGCAATGCCGCTTGACCGACTTGGGCACAACTAGGGACTAGCAGCCATTGCGAGTGTATTGCATTGTCTCAAAGTGGGTTGCAGATTGAGGAACTTTGTCAAAGCCATCGCAATGGTGGACATCTTGCTCTTGGCAGCATGGCTTAGCAGCTTGTGTGTTTCCCGATCTTCGAATCTGCGACACACCCCACCCCAAGTCTGGGAATTCGAAAGACCTCTGAGAGGTGAATCTGGTTTTCAACTTGATGCTAAGCCCATGCAAAACTCAGCTAGCGCAGGAATCCGAACGAGGATGTCTTCCTTTGTAAAGATTGCCTTGCACGCTATTCACCCGCTATTCACTTCGTTGTTCACCGTTTTTGATGTTTGTGATTATCGTGCTGCTATTGCTTCAGGTATGGCCTCTGAGCATGAACGTCTTGGCCGGCATGCTCCACTCCAAAGACCTGTCCTGGGTCCTCTTGCACATGCACTGGAGGCCGGTGCTGAAGCTGCTCAGGGAAGGGAGGGATCCCCAGTGGCTACACTGTGGCTAGACTCCCGGCAAGGCCCGTCCGGCACGACGGGAAGTGCAGGATATAGCATAGACCCAGTTGAGGTTACGGGACAAGGAAGCGCTTGCAATTCCATTGTTTGTGAATGGAACGATACGGTGCTTCGACCGTTTGTGCGGAAGGGTCCCCAGTGCGACCTACACGCATGCCATATTCGCCTTGCTGTGCTGACTTTGATTGCATGGCCAGACTACACCTCAAAATCCACCGCAGTGTGAGGGAGAGAATCATTTACATCGGCAGCCCGTCAGACAGTTGGAAGGCTGTTTCGTTGGGGCCTGGCTGTTCTGTCCTCGGTGCGACTTCTCTGCAACATCCGATGCCCTGGGCTTGCCAATTTACCGCATCAGGGTTTTGGATGCAGGGGCTGAAATAAGATACTTGTTTGCTCGGCAAAGTTTTCCGTGCATGGTTTGACATTTGAGAAGATTGGTCGGGCCGAAGGCGATGTGCTACGGAAGGGTGCGTGAGGTGAGCAGATACATTCTCCCAGTAGCTGAGGCCCCTTGTTCTTGAGCAGGGGGCGTGTGAGTCTTGTGCTGCGAACCCCATAGGCATCCTATATGAGCCCGCATGGAGACAGTACCATGAGCATCATCAGGTCCCCATTCCGCCTTCCCCCACCCCATCCATTAAACACCACCCGTATATAATAAGCACGCTTTTGGGCCAATCCTCCCGAAATCATCCTTGCCCTTTAACGCCAAATTTGCATTAGGTGGATCCGGAGCAAGAGCATCAGCAGGAGCAAGAGCACGAGCAACGACAATATCAAGCAAGAACAAGACCAGGAGCAGAAGCAGGAGCAAGAGCAAGAGCTAAAGCAGGTGCAAAGGCAAGAACAGGAGCAACAGCAAGAGCAAAAGCAAGAGTAAGAGCAAGAGCAGGAGCAACGGCAAGAGTAGGAGCAAGAGCAAGAGCAAGCACAGGAGAGAGAGCAAGAGACGCAGCAGAAGCAGGAGAAAAGCCAACATTCCCAGTTTTTTGGTGACGGCGCCCCTAGGGTGCCGAGGCTGCTTTTCGTAGCTTCCAGTGAGACGCCGACTACTTCTTGTGGGGCGTTTTTTTTTTGGGGGGGATTTTAGGTTCGTCCTCTTGGACCGCGTTGATGCTGCCATGCCCCCGCTCTCTGCCACTCTTTATGGTGATGTTTGCATGGTGCTGCTTGCTGCTTCTGATGATGACTTGCCT